CTGAACCTCTTCAGCATCAGGCGCGTACAGCAGCAGCTGCTTGATGTGCGAGGGCTCCAGGCGGTCGCTCTCCATGGTCATGAGGATCTGGCGCAGCTCAATGTGCGACAGCTTGAGGTGGGCGATCAGGATGGCTGGGGGAAGGAGGGGCATCAGTGGAGGGGCAGGGGAGCAGCCCAGTCCCCACATGGGGCTATGCTGCATGTCTCCATGGAGTTGGGAAGGCAGGGCCACCCCCAGCGCCCCACTCTGATGTGGGAGATCGTCCCTCTCTGTCAGACTTCCAAGGGAAGTAGCGCTGGCTCCTAGCCTGGGGGTGTATAAGAGAAGGCTTGACGATTACCTAGCTGGGGTCATATGAGCCCAGTTTTGTCTCCTGCCCAGGGCAGGGGGTCGGGCTAGAAGATCTGCAAGGTCCCTTCCGACCCTACATCTATGAATCCATGAAACCTGGAGTGGGGCCAGCAGAGACACTGTTCTGGAGAAGGGGATGCCTGCCCAAGCTAGAACTGGGCCAGACAAGTCCAGCATCCCAAGCTCTCCCAGCTGGCCCTCACTGCAAGCCATGACCTTGAGGCAGGAGCTGCCTGGTCCCATCTCCTGGCCCTTTTATCCCAAGTGGTTTTGGCACACGGTTCCAGCTGAAATAAGGAGGCAATGCAGGGAACATCAGCACCGACAACTTGAGAGCAGACCCTTGTACGTGGCAGGAGCTGGTCTCCCAGCAGGACCCCAGCTGAGCTAAGGGTTGGGGGCTCAGTGACATCCTATGGGTGGAGGGAGGGCAGCACAGAAGAGGAGGCATGAAACCTCCTCCTCTTCAGCATCCCCCAGCACCTCCAGGCAGAAGGCAACCGAGTCCAGCTGCATTCTTGGGTGGGCGAAGGTGTGCCTTCAAGGCCAGCTCTCCGCCTCATGCCTGGGCCTGTGGGGGCGGCGCCCTGAGCTGGTCACTGGGCGAAGGCATGCTGGCTCATTCTGGAGCCTTGTAAAGATGCTTTAGGTCCTGCCCTGCCATCGCTGCTGCTCTGCGTGTCCTCCTCTGCCTGCCAGGGAGAGGCAACTTTCCAAGGGGCCATCCCATTTACCTGCAGCTCTCAGCCCACCAGTGGGCTAAAGTCCCCCCAAAGGCAACGAGCCACGTCCCATTTCTGGAATTCTCCCTCGAGCCTTCCTTTCCCCTGCAGCCCAGGCTGACTACGAGGGGCACTGCGTGGCACTGGCTCTGTGCATGGCCCTGCTCACTGCCGCCAGTCCAGGAGACACGCTCTCCTTTTACCATTCCAGTCCTACCCTCCCATGCCCCCGCCCCTCCC